GAACTTTGAGTTCTAGGCATGTTGTAGCACAAGATAATTAGTGTGCGGAGTATTTTTATTTATATAGTGCTATGTCAACACAAATTAGTTAGCATAAATCAGTTAAATGACGAAAAATTAGGTGTCTATTTACTTGTGACCACTCTGTTTCATTGGTATTCATTAATGTGTTTTTTAATACCTTATTTTGCCAGTTCCAGCAGTCAACACTTCTAGCTATAAATCATAAAAAAACGACAAAAATGGAATCCTTGATCTTTCTTGGTCGAGATCAATTTATATCTAATAAATATAGTTTTATTTCCAATGAAAAATAAGTTATTTTAATTTTTCTGTGCTAAAAATTAGTTATTAACATTCAAAAATTGAATATTTGAGTCATCGGATTTTACCGTCACCTACCGTAATCGTTAAACCTAAACTAACCTAATGTCTTGTCATAAAGTAATATTTCTGTAACTTTCAAACTGATATAATTTAACACGAAATCTTACTCGGGAACGAAAATAATATCTAAATAAACTATAAATAAATCCCCAGATTAATGTGGGGTTTTCTAAATTTCCCACTAGAATCCTTCACCCCCTACAGAAGCTCCAGGTAGTCCATATCTCGAAACACCACAAATTACTGCTCAAACCATTTTATTTACTCTACATTGACCTCGTTTGTTTGTTTTTGATTATGCACAAAGTTATACAAGGGCTATCTGTGCTCTGCCCACCACGGGTATCGAAACCCGGTTTGTAGCGTTGTAAGTCCGCAGACATGCCGCTGTGCCACTGGGGGCCTACATTGATCTAGTAGTTTATAAGCTGTTCTATCTAATATTATTTAGCTGTTGACTCGAGCTATTTTCAAGTCTAAATTTCATTAGTAATTGTTCAGACCACAAGCTGTGATACCATAAAAAGGTAGTAATGAAAGGTAGTAGTAATAAAACCACTAAAGAATAAAGGAAATCGTGTGAAAAACAAGACATGAGTCATTACATTTTATAAAAATGATAAGTTGTTATACAAACCCGTACTTCGGCATAGGTAGACAAATCCTAACATATATCAAAATGCATTGTTTACAGGCGATACTCCATAGAGTTGCCCCCCCCCCCCCCAGTGGCACAGCGGTATGTCTTCGGATTTACAATTCTAGATTCTAGATACCCGTGGTTGGCAGAGCACAGATCGCCCATTGTGTAGCTTTGTGCTTAACTTGAAACAAACAAACAAACCATACAGTTGAACAGGAATTGAAGGTGGAGCATTGTTTTAATATTTCTTTGAAAATTACACTGAATATGTGTTACATAATAACATAATATAAGGTCTGAAATATTTTTAATCAATAATTGTTGAAGTAGAGTCATAATTATTATTTCTACTCCAATTTTGAAATTTAATTATGACCTAATCATAATGAAAGGTGCTTTGTGGTCGAGATAGGATTAGAGGGTAAGGCGGTTGGTCAACAGTACCCACCTCTATCTCTTGAGCTAGTCTCGTCTTATCGAATACTAGGACTTGAAGTCATTCCTATAGTTAACCTGAGACCAAAATATGGAATCGTATAATAGGATCATCAAGCTTATACTTAAAGAACAAATAAAATATCGTTGTGAATTTCCTCATAATTTCTCTAAGTAGAAATTGTATTACTTGATGATTAAGGTCTTCTTCAATAGGTACTCTAAAATTATTTTTCGCCCATATACGTTAACTCATCAAAAGTATCTTTACAGTAAAATAATTTTGTATGTTATTCATCTAAACACTAACCGCCTCCCTTTAGTGTAGTCTATCAGTTAAAATTAGGAACAGCTAGCGTAGATAGCCCATGCGTAGTTTATCGAAATATCCAGAAAAAATAAACAAACAATTAGTCAAAAACTATATAGAACAAATTATATCAATACCATTAACTTTTTCACCAGAGATATGACACAAAAAATCGATTAAATTTGCAGACTGAAATATCCAATGATTATAATTCATTAAAGTACATTGAAAATTTCCCTATGGATATATGTTGAAGAATATTTTCAAAATATTCACCATTCAATATTCAGTTCATCACCACTGTTTTATTTCATGCTTTATATAATCTTGTGTAACTTTGTGTAAGCTCCATTCGATTAAAAATTACATTATCAATTGTTGTTTTCTTTTTGGTTGTTTGTAGTTGAGCACAAAGCTACACAATGGGCTATCTGTGCTCTGCCCACCACAGGTATCAAAACCCGGTTTCTAGCTTTCTAAGTCCGCAGACATACCGCTGTGCCACTGGAGGGGATTCTTTTTGCAGTGTTGCATGATACGAGAACATGCCCTATGGACTTGTGACGACATCATCATTGTATGATTAGCCATTCCTGTCAGAGTTTTTAAAAAAGTGGCCCCGGGAGCTTAACAGTAAACATGAGAGTTTATAATGATAGAATTTGGGTCTCAATCTCAGTAATGGAAACAGCACATATAGTCTATTTTGTAGCCTTGCGCTTAAACAAACAGCTAAGTCAAACTGAAATGAACTAAAATTAGTGGCAGTAAAAAATTCTAGAACTCCTTAGAGAGAAAAAAACTTCATGAAAGATTGGAGATTTTATATACACTTGCTATAGAATTTAGATTTACCGTCATTATTTGAACGTTAGTAAGACAAATATATACCCTAGGCTTGGCAGCACCGTTTCTTACATCCAAACATGTCTGAAAAGAAATGTTGACAGCAACAACAGGATAGCATTGCCTATCACAAAGTCCTGATGTTTTAGGAGTTGTAACTCATCTTTCTGAACCGATGGATTGAGATACTGTTAAATGCTGTTTATGTGTAGGCTAGTATTTTAATGCCTTAATACAACTATCCGAAAAGCAATAAGATATAGTATAACAAACGTATATACCCCACTTTAATTTTCACACAAACAGCAATATAGTGCAAACGACAGAGCATTAATTTCAGAAAATAAAAAACAAAGTGAAATTAAACATAGGTTGTGGTACTGAGGAATAGTATGTCTACGGACTTACAACGCCAGAATCCGGGTTTCGATACTCGTGGTGGGCAGAGCACATATAGCCCATTGTGTAGCTTTGTGCTTAATTACAAACAACAACTGAGGAATAAGGTAGGTCCGCGGAATAAAAGGACATACGACCATGAAATTTACCAAGAAGTAATTATAAATTATTTGAATCAGGCTGTATTTGTGAAGGAAAGAGACTGGACACAATGTAGCATACAGTGAAAAGAATCTTTATTCAATAACATGTTTGTTATTGTATTTTTTGTTTGTATTGTTTGTATTTTTTTAGACAAAAGACAGTCGCCTTCACTAAAGAGCTAAAAGTTGTTCAATCTACAAGAGCTTTTTCCCGATTATGAAAACATTATGTTATACAATTAAAACCGTAATATCATACTTTCCAGGGCGATTTGCGTCACCTATGTGACCGTTGGCCATTCACATTAGAAAATATGAGAGGTCGTTGATTCTAGTCGTGATCTCACCAACGAGTGGAAGAAGATGCTATTTACACTTAACCTTGCAGAAAAATTTATCGGGGGAAGACAAAGGTGATATATTAGATGACTGACTCAGAACAATAGGTAGGTACAGCAAAAGGAACTAAACGCCTTTCTTGACCAACGTCTAATGTAAAAACTTAACATACACCTGAATAAATGAAAATTTTAAAAACTTCTATATTAAAACAGGGGGTAGCAAACACATGTTACGCCAACATACCACAAATTTCCTCCCTCCGTTATTTTAGGGTGTCCCAATCATCCCTAATTTTATAGTTTGAAACTAATTAAGTTTACTTTCAACACAGATGACACAACCGTTTAACAATAATAGAATACATAATAATGGTCACATTAAACAAACTAAAAAAAAAGAAGAAAACTTTAACACTGGTTCAGTTCAAGCCTTAATAAGATAGACAATTTGCGTGGTTACCTTACACATAATAACAAATGCAAACATGGCCAGGTGGATAAGGCGCTCCACTCACAATCTGAGGGTCGCTGGTTCTAATACCCGTCCAACCAAAC